AGTGACCCCAGGCAGCTGATTTTGCTTGAATTGAGTAAACCTAAAATAAGCAGACAAAAGTCCGTGTCTTTCCTACCATATTCTCCAGATGATAACACGCACTTGTTTTCCCCATTTAGCCTCAAAGCTAAAAGTTGGCAGTCCTGTAGTTTTACCGAAAGAACCAAGAAGATGAATCTCTGCAGTCACGAAAGCTTTAAATCGAAAAATAAAGTCCCGTAGTCCTCTGGAAGATTTGTTTTCATCTAGTTGTTCAGAATCATCATCCTTGAGATAGGTCGCTACAGCAATACGTGACCACCCAGAGGACCCAAAACACCATCAGCAGTTCAGAATTTCCTTCCAGAAGACCTCTCTTCCCCTTTTTAAAGCAGTGCGTTCAATCGTCTTCGTCTGGAAGATGGCTCTCTATAATACCACATTCTCCCGATTATTAAGTATACTATGGATTTTTTTGCTGGCTGGCGCGCGGGCAGGCGGGCAGGCAAGTGTGTGTTGGTAGCATCACCGCCCTCACCTGCGTGATGGGCCAGGTTCATGTTTCACGCTGATGTGTTACGCCTCCCCACCCACCCTCCACCCCGGTCATGTATCCCGCGCAAATGTGCGGTCAGTGCCAGTTGCACTTAAAAAAATGAATCGCCCCAAAGCATGCTTCTTACTTTCCGGAGCATCATCTCGTCCGAAGAATAGCAATCTATGGCTATATCGCTCGCAAAATAATCGGTATAATTCAATGAATCTATGACTATATCACGAGCAACATAATCGGTATAATTCAACTAATCAATGGGTATATCACTCGCAAATTAATCGGTATAATTCAACTAATCTATGGGTATATCACTCGCAAATTAATCGGTATAATTCAACTAATCTATGGGTATATCACTCGCAAATTAATCGGTATAATTCAACTAATCTATGGGTATATCACTCGCAAATTAATCGGTATAATTCAACTAATCTATGGGTATATCACTCGCAAATTAATCGGTATAATTCAACTAATCTATGGGTATATCACTCGCAAATTAATCGGTATAATTCAACTAATCTATGGGTATATCACTCGCAAATTAATCGGTATAATTCAACTAATCTATGGGTATATCACTCGCAAATTAATCGGTATAATTCAACTAATCTATGGGTATATCACTCGCAAAATAATCGGTATAATTCAACTAATCTATGGGTATATCACTCGCAAATTAATCGGTATAATTCAACTAATCTATGGGTATATCACTCGCAAATTAATCGGTATAATTCAACGAATCTATGGGTATATCACTCGCAAATTAATCGGTATAATTCAACGAATCTATGGGTATATCACTAACAATATAATCGGTATAATTCAATGAGTCTATGGGTATATCACTAGCAAAATAATCGGTATAATTCAACAAATCTATGGGTATATCACTAACAAAATAATCGGTATAATTCAATGAGTCTATGGGTATATCACTAGCAAAATAATCGGTATAATTCAACAAATCTATGGGTATATCACTAGCAAAATAATCGGTATAATTCAACTAATCTATGGGTATATCACTAGCAAAATAATCGGTATAATTCAATGAATTTATGGGTATATCACTAGCAAAATAATCGGTATAATTCAACGAATCTATGGGTATATCACTAGCAAAATAATCGGTATAATTCAACAAATATATGGGTATATCACAAGCAAAATAATCGGTATAATTCAACGAATATATGGGTATATCACTCGCAAAATGATCGGTATAATTCAACAAATCTATGGGTATATCACAAGCAAAATAATCGGTATAATTCAACAAATCTATGGGTATATCGCTAGCAAAATAATCGGTATAATTCAATGAATCTATGGGTATATCACTAGCAAAATAATCGGTATAATTGAATGAATCTATGGGTATATCACTAGCAAAATAATCGGTATAATTAAACGAATCTATGGGTATATCACAAGCAAAATAATCGGTATAATTCAACGAATCTATGGGTATATCGCGAGCAAAATAATCGGTATAATTCAACGAATCTATGGGTATATCACTAGCAAAATAATCCGTATAATTCAACAAATCTATGGGTATATCACAAGCAAAATAATCGGTATAATTCAACTAATCAATGGGTATATCGCGAGCAAAATAATCGGTATAATTCAACGAATCGTGACTCGCATGCCGCCATCCCTCCCAGGTGTTGGCGCACGATAGCGGGAGCCGCTGCCGCGGTGCAGGCTGGTCCCCGGGATTCCCGCACAAGCGCAAGTGGACGACGGAAGGTGCGCCAACTCCGCCCGGCTGTCGCGACGTGCGGCAGTTCCCTCGTTTTTGCGAATCTCTTTTTGTCCCCAGTGTTCTCCCGATCGCGTTACGGGACGAAGAATCCACTCGGATCTCTCGCAGAGCAGAGTAAACTTTTGTTCTAGAGAATGACCCAGGGAAGCGGATACTACAGAGCGACTGCTGAGATACATTCAAGTGACCACACTGCAGGGGGCAGGACTTTCCCACCCACCATGCCACTGCAATAACCACAACACAAGCAGTCAAAATGCAAAAAAAAGAAACAACTCTGATAATGATATGCACTGTCCGTGAAATTGATTGGTCCACACCCGAGACGGCTTTTCTTAGAGCCTAATCTCAATTGGTGTTGGACCAGATGACGCCATAAGGCGTACAACTCAAAAACAGCGCACTATCAGAGTAATGAGAGCTCGGGGTAAGCATTTACATTATGAGACCTCCTTTGCCAGTAGCAAGATATAGCAATAGGTTTTTACCCTTTTATCTGGCACCAAAACTGACACCTTTAATCGGGCCATATGTTAGTTCACTCTCATGAGCTGGAATTTAACCGGATTAAGTGCAGAAACTAAGGTAGTGTGTTGTCTTATTTTGTACAATCATTCGTGGCAGGGCTGAGGCTATCAACTCACGACACGTGAAACCCCAGTTCAATCACAGGAAGCACTCTGACCTCCGAACTACCTCTGGATACTTCAAATGAACACGTGTATTTTTTTTACTCCGAGCGTGCCCGCCGCACCACCGCTTCTCCCAGGCCACACCACCGCTTCTCCCAGGCCGTCGTTGGCCGCTGCTGCCAATCACAAATCTGGGCAGCGTGTTGCGACCTTTCGCTATTAAAACAAAAAAAACACCCGCCGGCTGCATCAACCAGGAAACGATGCAGCGGTAACGTTTGCGTTGTGTTCTTCCCTCCCGCACACCCCCCCCCCCCCCGAATTAAACAGTGCAAGAGAGAAGGCTTCAGAGTAGATGGCTGAATGATGGCGAGCCCTATTCGCCGCAGGATGCCTGTAAGACGGAGAGTAACTTCCCTGGCTCCATGTATCATTCAGAAGACGTTCACAAGTTTATTTCCACTCTCGTGCGATAGCAGCGGCTTGGGGAGGCCTTCATCCAGCAGTGGCTTGATCACAACTGATGATGATGATTATGACGTTTCGATTTAAAGCTTTGTGACTGCAGGGATTCATCTTCTTGGTTCTTTCGGTAAAATCACGTAGAATGGAAATAATACAATAAGAAACCATAATAAACCATAATAAAATAATATAATACATATTTTTTAAAGTCACGTAGAATGGAAATAATAAAATAATAAAAATAATAAACCATAATAAAATAATATACACATTTTTTATTATGTTTTATGTTTTATTATGTTTTTATTATGTTTTATTTTTATTACTTTATTATTTCCATTCTACGTGACTTTACCAAAAGAACCAAGAAGATGATTATGACGTGTCACACTAGTCTGGTAGGGCTATTGGCCTTCCAAACCAACGGGTTTTGCGTGCGTCGCCTCGTCGCAGATGACGACGATGGAGGAAGAGGAGGCGGGGGACGAGGCACGCGAACACGGCAGCGCGGGCAGAGGGGAAGGCTGCGACGTCAGCGGCACCGCCGCCGTCCTCTGTCCCAGACGGTGGCGTCGCCGCGCGATCCCGAATCTCCCGACAACGTGTTCAGCTACTCGCTGTCGCAGGACTTGACCCCCTCGACGTCCACACAGGTGAACGAGGTCGTCGCGAGGGCTGGAGAACGGCCCATTGCCTCGGCGGGGACGATTCTCTGTCGGGGAATAGACTCTGGCACTGCCGAGACGCTGGGCTATCCCCCGCTCGTGATTCAAATCGATCGTCGCGGTAATTGACTTGCTATGAATCAACTCGTTGATGCACCGTTCAGTAACCTCATCCCTGGTGGTGGTGGTGGTGATGATGTCGGTGATGTTGGGGAGCAGTTTGTGTGGCGGTTAGCGCTACGCTGCGCTGCGAACCCGGCGACCCGAGTTCGATTCCCGCTCACGGCCAACACCAGTGACGACTGTTTGAACCGGTCTTGGGCCTCCACTAGGTCGACTCAGCCTCACATAAGTACCTAGTAAGGTGTCTAAACATCACCATTGGGGAGACAAAGGCGGCCGGGCGTGGTGCTGGCCAACCCCCTTGTGTGTCGTGCCGTCCTTCTTAGGAGCTCGCGAACTGCACTTGCCACGACAGTCTGTTCAGGCTATACGGGGGATCTTTGTCTTTGATGATACTCTTAGTTCTTTCGGTAAAGTCACGTAGGTAAAAAATTAAATTAAAATTAATAAAAATAAAATAAAAAATTATTTTTATTAAAATTAATAAAAATAAAATTAAAAATTATTTTTTATTAATTTTCATTTCATTTTTTACCTACGTGACTTTACCGAAAGAACTAAGAGTATGAATCCTTGCAGTCACGAAAAGCTTCAAATCTTTGATGATAATTAGTGTTGGTGAAGGTGGTGGTTTGTGGTGGCTGTTCCAAGCGTGTTGACGCATGTGTCTGCGTCCGCTCTGTGTTCTGCAGACGAGCATCTCGCTTGCCACCGAGAGCCCAGAAGATGCAGGTCCAGTGCCTGAGAAGAAAACCGAAACCCAGGAAGGTTTGTGCTGTATGCCGGCTGCCATATATGATCTCACTCTCAGAGCTGGAATTTAGCCGGATTGAGTGCAGAAACTAAGGTAGTGTGTTGTCTTATTTTGTACAGTCATTCGTGGCAGGGCTGAGGCTATCAACTCACGACAAGTGAAACCCCAGTTCAGTCACAGGAAGCTTTCCTGACGTAGAACTCGCCATCTCAACAGTCGCAGCTCAGCACTCTGACCTCCGAGCTCTACCTCTGGATACATCCACTCTGTGTTTCTGCAGATGAGCAGCTCACTTGCCACCGAGAGCCCAGAAAATGCAGGTCCTGAGAAGAAAACCGAAACCCAGGAAGGTCTGTGCTGTATGCCGGCTGCAAAACAGTCACTGCTTAGGACGAGGCCAGGGACCGCACGTAGTTGCACCACCACCCGCAGAATTTCAGATGTTCACCGAGATGCTACTCCTGAAGTTGCCCCCTGGCTCATTGGCAAACCTCAACACCATCAATGTACAAACATGTACAAACATTAATGGTGAGCCCTCCACCATACGATAGATCAAGAATGCAGGGGAATTAAATAATTCACGAGATTCCCTTTGTGTGTCTTTATTTTGTGTGTGAATATTAAATGTTCTTACTTCTTACATACAAGTCGCGTGTCTGGAGTCCAGACACAGAGCCGATTTGTTTTATTGGTGCTTTTCAGTTCCCACAGTTCCGTGATGTCAAATAAAATTCGGAATTTAATTAATTCCGAATCGCCTCGACACCCGTGACACTGATTTATAAAAAAACTGGGGAAAAGGCACATTTTTTTATTTTTATATGTGAAGTGCGTTGACGCTTGAACGCTTTGCTTCATCGACAGCGGAGTGTGGGAGTGAACCCGGTGACATCAGCGACACGGACAGCGTCGCAAGCCATTCGGTGAGCGAACCCCAACGGGGGTTTCATGGCCAGGGCCGGGGGTGGAGCAGCGACTGATTGGGGATCCCAAATTGCTTGCCAGAGTCGTCTTTGGCCACTTTCCCTCGACACCTCTCATCTATAAATATTTCATCATCATCATCATCACGGTCCATGGGCAGATAGCCCCACAGGTGTCCACTGCCCCTTTCTGTCACGTGTTTCCACTTTCCTCCGTCTTGTGCCAATATGCAGTGGCATCTAAGTCGTGCGCCACTTCTTTCTGGCACCAATCTCCTATGTCGTCAAGCTCTACTCTGTTCAGTCTTCCTCTCTTTACGGTTCCTTGCATTTTTCCACACAACACACATAGATACACTCTTCGTAATGGTGGTGGTGGGGATGCTGCTATACCCTACACATGTTTCTTACCAGCGCATTATGCCACACTTTGACCACTGTGACCTTGAGCTTCACGCACGCGTGTGTTTACGCATGATTTTTTTTTCCCCCCGTCATCAGCTCCTGAACCCTTTTACTACGGCTGCCCTGGTAAGCAGTGCAGGCTTTAGCCAAAGGTTCGATGTCGACCAACACGCAGAGCGTGCCGGCACCCAGCCAGAACACTCAAGCGCCGCCCACGCCTCCCGCAAATGTGCCGGAGTCTCCCCGAAACTCTCCTCCGCCACCAACGATCTTGCCCGAGCATCCGCGGGACCCTCCTACGCCACGCCAGACCATCGCGCCGGGGTCTTCCCGGAACTCTCCTTCACCGCCTCTGACTGTGCCGGAGTTTCGGGATGCTTCCACCCCTTCGCTGCACCTCCCGTCGGCACCTGCGCATGACATCTCACAACTGGACGTGGGTGAGTGGAGAAGGAAAAAGAAATACCTCGTGGGAATTACGGGAGCAGAGTATTTTTGCAACGAGGCTGTTGCAGATTTTTGTTTGTTTCGTTGAACGGGGTCAAGGATATAGTAATAGGTTTTTACCCTTTTATCTTGCACCAAAACTGACACCTTTAAAGGTGTCAGTTTTGGTGCCAGTTTTTTTGTGCCAGATAAAAGGGTAAAAACCTATTGCTATATCTTGCTACTGGCAAAGGAGGTCTCATAATGTAAATGCTTACCCCGAGCTCTCAATACTCTGATAGTGCGCTGTTTTTGAGTTGTACGCCTTTTGGCGTCATCTGGTCCAACACCAATGGAGACTCGGCTCTAAGAAAAGCCGTCTCGGGTGTGGACCAATCAATTTCAAGGACTGCATTTATTATCAGAGTTGTCTTTTTTGTTTGCATTTTGACTGCTTGTGTAGTGGTTATTGCAAACATGATCCCTTGTATAAAGGTGTCAGTTTTGGTGCCAGATAAAAGGGCAAAAGACCTATGAGTATATCTTGCTACTGGCAAAGGAGGTTTCATAATGGGGTCAAGGATGTCACCGTGGGCAGTGCCGGTGATGCGAGCGGAGCCCGCCGTTGTTTTATTCCTTCTGTGGGATCCCAACTCCGTTGCGTTGTCCATACCAGACCTGCAAGGTCTGCACGTGCAATCTCATCATCATCATCATCATAAAGGCGCGGTGACACATCATGTGTTCCCCGCTCGTTGCAGAGGCTCGCGGTTCAAATCTGGTGGGCCGTCCTGGTTAATACCGTGGATGTTTTAACCATAAAATACGCTCCAAATGTGCCGCAGTGGACGTAAAAGATCCCGGGACGTCATTTTAAAGAGTCGGCTATTTCGTGTCATTGTCACGGTCCATGTTCCCCAAATGCAAGCTCATGTTGGAAAGCAATATGCAATCCGTGTGCTCGCGTGATTTTGTGTCTGACCTGTTGTGGTCATGGGATGCACACATTGCTACTGCTAAGTTCACGGCTGCGCGTGCCGTTACAGAGTACGTCCGTAGGTTCTGGTCGCACCTCAGGGAGATGGGGAAGGTGGAGGCGGTGTTTGACATCATCTCGCAAGGCCTGGATAACCTCAAGCGGAACGTCGCGACCGTCAACGCCACCAACCAGGGTGACCGCTCGACGTGTTTCTGTGAAGGGGCCAGATTTCTGGATTTTTGTCTCCATCCCTGCCCCGAATGGGTCTAAGTCCGATAAGCGGCAAACGCTGGTGGCAACAGCCTACTCTCGCACGGAAGCTTCCTGCCCATGCAGACGTTGAGGTGGTACTAACCTCCATCTGTACAGCCCTGAACCTTTTGGTGGAAATTCCTCATTCCTGTGGCTGGGGTTGAGTCTCTCTACAAGCAAGCACTGTTGATTTTCCCCACAACACGGCTACTGATTTTATCGACCCCAGCCAGGATTTGACTCCACACACGCACGGTACCGTGCCAGAATCTTTATCAGAATCTTTATTTATCCTGGAGAAATCCGATGAGCTCTGAAGCTTATTTAGCGGGTGGGTCGAAAAGCTACAACGAACAATGCAAACAAAAACGACAGGAATGCACAGTTTTGGAAAGGTAAGAAAAATCGCTAAATATTACTCCTCTCATTCACGGGTGCAACACTTGACAATCGCCACTGCCTCTGCTGACTCCGACACGTCGGGTAAATCGATGTGGGTTTGAGAAGCTTCATTATCTTCCGCTGAGCGCGTTCACTCAAAACTTCCACCGTCTAAATCGTCCCCGAGCCCTCCTCTCTCTCCTGCCCCCCAGCCCTCTCACCGATTCTCCTCTCCCTCACTCCCGGTCCCGCCCTCTCTCTTCAATCTCCATCCAACCTCCACTCCGCTGCCGTCCCTCGTCACACCCCATAACGTCTCTCCCATTCGCTCCGCGCACCTTCCGACCTCTCGCCTTCTCCTGCGTCGGGAGGTACGTCGGACGCCAATTGTCTCCCTCCACCCACGCGGGTGAGTTTCTCCGTGGGTGCGCTCCTTCAGCCAATAGGGAGCCACGTCTCGTCGGCTCTGCGGTCCACATCATCGTGGTCACGCGCGTGTGTCTGACCGCCTGTTCGTTCGTGCAGGGAAGCGTAGTGAGCGACTTCCGACACACGTCTAGTAGAAGACTTCTTATTTATCACGGGGCGATTACACTTCGTAGCACGGCTACACCCCAGGCTGTCCAAACACACAGCCCATCTCCGTCCTGCGCCACGCTGGCTGGTTGGCGAGTGTAGCGGCGGCGGCGACGGAGCTAGTCCCGCAGAAGAACCGCCGCGTGGTCGGAGACAAAGAGATGACGACGGCAGTGACTCAACCAGGACCCAGACCCCACGCTAACAGCCCCGAACCAGAGGTTGCCGTGCTCCTTACATCTGCCTGGCACGACCAAGCTCCACCTCTGGCGACGCCCCCTTTCCAGAACCTTCGGGATGGTTCCCGGAGCTTCTCAACTGACACCGCCCTTCACCTTTACCGATACGGCCCTTCATAATAAGGCATTAGGTAATGCAGCCATAACCGTAGTTACCTTTTCAGGCCGGCAAGTGTCACCCTGTCATTACACAAGTCTAAGCGGCATGTGTTCATGGCTGTGTTGGCGTGCGTGTTTGTGTCTGCGTGACAGCGCTCGTGCAGTCCTTCTCGATGATCACCGTCATGGGGAAGTATGACATGATCCTGTCCACCCTGAGGCGAGGTACACGGCCTTCTTCACTCGCCGCTCGGTTCACAAGTGTCGGTGGGGGGGGTGGGGTTGGGTGTCGTCTCTTTTGGAAAAGAAAATTATAATAAATTTCACACGATTGGATTTTCTTCCCGAATGTGCATTAAGTCAACTTGCCCGTTCCCCGTAGAGATGGAGCATTGGTATCGGCTCACGTGCGGGTGTTGGGCGGATTGTTCAATCGCAGGACCGTGAACAGTGGCACCGGCTTGATGACGTCTTCATCCAGCAGTGGAGTTATCATGGCTCGTGCTGCGTCCGAAACGTCGTAATTTATTTTATTTTATACCTACCTGACTTTACCGAAAGAACCAAAGAGTATGGATTCCTGCAGTCACGAAAGCTTCAATTCAAGATTGAATATTTTAAGTTATTGTTAAGATGTTCAACACATGACAGAGCATGTCATCTGGCGGTCGACAGACCCTTAAGGGGCTGCGGCAAATAAGAGCTTGAAAAGGGTGAACAGCTGCAGACTTTGGATTTGAGGGTCCGCGGCAAAGTGCCATGATCTGCGCTGGCAAATCAGAACAAATCCAGCCAACTCCCGATTTCTTGGGGTAGATCTTTGCAGTGGCAGAAGTGACGGGGCACGCTAAAATTAGAAACACGGTGTTGTTACCCGCTAGACAGTATTCCGGTGCCCGATTAGTCCAGTTGAGGTGCTTGCAATGACGGATAAATAGATCGAAGCGGTTGGCCCTAGTGTGGCCCGTGGGCCGCTCGACGTGAAGTCTTGGGCCATGCCCAGCCCACACTTGTTCGGTTCCCCCGTCCGCGTCGTCGTCGGTGGTGCCGGCATAGACTGGGCCGAGCGGCGCTGGCGCCTGGAGGAGGAGGGGCGGCGCCTGCAGCTGCTGGCGAGCGCTGAAGTCCCGCCGGCTCGGGGCGACGCGCGAGGGGCCACGTCGTCCTCCGCGTCGTCGTCGCCATCGACGACGACGTCGTCACGTCGCGGCTCGCACCGGCGGTGCGACGTGCGGTGCTGCGCGGCGCCGTGCCCCCCGTCGCTGTGCTATGACGTGCCGCGCTGGACCAACCCGCTGCGCGTTCCCCTGCTGCACGGCTTCCAGCGCCTGGCCTCCACCTCGCAGGTGCCTCGTTCGGAAGACGAGTTCGAGTTCAGCTGAGATGGTGCACATACGCGGATGATGTGTCGCTCTCCTCGCTCGTTCATTTGTTTGTCCACGGGGAGTGTTCAGTTGCCGGGACGGAAGCCGACCGAGAGCTGTTAGGGCAAATTGACCAGTTCCTGTTTTAACCCTTTCCCATTCCGGTGACGTACATGCACATCGTTTTTTATTCCGAATTGGGAGGGCGTCGCACAGTTTGGTATGAACCATCATAGAGTGCGGTCGTGTCGCTACAGTTCTCTGCGGTGAGTACAATATCTTTAAAAACAGCAGCACTACGCCTCTCTGAATAAATTGAACGCGAACCACTTGCACGTTGCGAGATTCCGCGGTGAACGAGACCCACCCTGCAACTTGCAGACGTCTCAGAATGGGTTTAGCTAACACACGCACACGCGTGCGTCCGTGCGCCAGGTGTGTTACCGCGCGCCCTGCGGGAGGCTGCTTAGCTCCGCGGATGAGGCGCGCCGCTTCCTGACGGACTCGGGATGGCGCCGCTTCCTCTGCGCACGCCTCTTCTCCTTCAACCCGTCCGTCGGCGTGTCCTCCGAGCCCAACCCGGCGCTGCTGCCCACCGACAATGGCGCCGGGCCCGGCTGCTGCCCGGCCGCCCTGCGCCTTCTGCCTCCCGGCACGGGGCTGCCCCAGCTGCTGGTGGAGGACCTGTCGGCGGGCAGCGAGAAGCATGTTGCGGTGCCTTGCGTGAACTCGCTGGGGCTTGACGCGCCCGAGCCTTTCCTGTACCGCTGGCGCCCGTCCTGTGGCTCGGTGTCCGGGCAGGGGCACCGCTTCTGCGTCAGCTGCGACTGCGCGGACGACTGCGGAGACGCGTGAGTGTTGTAACAATGTAGCGGTCGTCATTGTTGAGGTCAAAAAGCGATGATCGCTCAAGTGAGCGTTGAGGCGGTGCTCACTTACTGTGAGCGGCCCTGAGCCCGTGGTGGAGAACTTACTTGTAGAACAACCGCTGTTGACATCCCCACACAGTGGTACCTATTTTAGTAGCCCCGGAGCGATGATGGGCTGAGTCAACCCCTCCACCAGGATTTTAATTTGCGACCTTCTTACTGTGAAGCCGCTCACTCGATTACAAAGTCTAAATTTAAATTGAAAACTCATTTCTTTAGAAGTGATTTTTGTGTTTGTTCTTCCCCGCCCCCACCTACGATTATCGCAGTTGGCTACTTATGGTGCGAAATAAGTTCAACATACATACTAAGCCACCGAGCCAGCCATAATTACAATTATTGGAGTGTACACGTACAGCCCTTTTTGTTAGCTCACTGCTCAGTGCATCGGCGTTTTTTCTCTTAGAATCCTTCACTTCGCTAATCCCTCAAGGGTGTCCACGGTGTCAATGACACGCGCTTAGCCAACACGTAATGACACGTATACGACACACGCATACTTTTTCGGCTTACAAGCTATGCACAGTCAAATAACGTAAATAACTACGGAAGCAACTTGGGAAGGGAGAGGTACACATAAAACAACGATTCGCGTCACTGCCCATTTTTTGTTTTTTAAGACTCACCGATTTTCCCTCTTTTACCCAAATGCCTCTTCCCCATCCCTCCTCCCGACTTCCTTAACCATTCTTCACGCTCGCTCATCGTCAACCACCCATTGTCACTTTCACCATCGTTTATTTCACGCATCATCACATTCGTGTACTACCGTCCTTCTCATCAACTGGTCTCATCGACCCCTTTCTGCCGTAAAAATAGCTCATTCTTTGTCCAGCGCCTTCGCCAAGACACTACGTGAATTCAAACAAGATAAGAATGCAATGTTGATTGATGTAATCTGTGCGCGTCTCTGTGTGGTGGTCCCGCTGTTGGTGGTTGCGCTCAGGGAGAGGTGTGCCTGCCGGAGACTGACTGCCAGCGTCGCCTTGGAGGGAGGGAGCTCCACGGGCTACGTCCACGGACGTCTGCTGGGCAAAGTTCCCTCTGGGTAACCTGCCCACCCGCCTGCCCACCCACTCGCCCACCCACCCACTCGCCCACTCGTCCGCCCACCCACTCGCCCACTCACCCGCCCACTCGCCCGCCCGCCCACTCGCACGCCCACTCGCCCGCCCACCCACTCGCCCGCTCGTCCGCCCACCCACTCGCCCACTCGCCCGCCCACTCGCCCGCCCACTCGCCCACTCACTCGCTCACCCGCCTGCTCGCTCACCCGCCCGCTCACACTAAAACCTAGACTTAAACTCAAACTTAACAAACAATAATTCAGTGCCCTTTTTTTCCCCCCAATTTATTCCACACGTGATAATGGCATCATCTAGCACACCAGACTTGCAATCAAGAGGTCGCTGGTTCGATCTCCCGGCGCGGCTGCTGAACGGTGGTGCATGTTTTTATTAAATCCCCCCCCACCCACCTCTGTCCGCCCAGCAGTATAGATGGGTTCACCGTAGTTAGTGGATCAGCAGGTAGCGTGTGGTGGGGTGAAGTGTTGCGGCTCCAACCTCATCCGAGACGTCCAACCGGCGTGGAAGAGTAGGCCAAACTTCCCCTTTCGGGAAGCTCTGTAGAACTACCTCTAGTGGAGGCCTCTCTGTTAGTAGTCACATGAGCAAGGAATTGCAGGGTTGAGCTTTTGCCTTTAATAATGGGCGTACCAATGGCAACGTTACACCCCTCGCCGCACCTCCGATTAGCACGGTTGGCTACGTTATGTGCGAAATAAGTTCAAAAGTCTTACTGTTTCATTCCTTATATAGAGGCGTAGACACTTCTCCACAAATCTGGCTGTCGCCTGATGAAGCTGGTTGTAATTACTGGCGAAACGTCGTACTCGGTTTGTAAATGTTGTGGCTTGGTTCTCCAACACACCGGTGTGCTGTACTAGTGACGAATTGGCCACGTTCTGTTTACGTGACAAGTTCAAAATACATACGTACGTCGCCTCTTCTGTCGCTCACCCCGCCTCCCTCCTGACGTCGCAACCTCTCGCCACCACAGGATCTACGAGTGCAACGCGCGTTGCGCTTGCAGCAGGAGGGGACGAGCGGCCTTGGCAGCAGAGGCAGCGAGCGCAGCCGGCGTTGAAACTGGCGTCAACGCAGAGCCGATGGAGGTGGAGGAGGAGGCCACAGAGGAGGCGTGGCGGTGGCCGTGTGAGAACCGCGTGGTTGGCGACGGGCTCCGCGTGAGGCTGCAGGTGTTCCGCACGAGGTCGCCGGGCGGGTGGGGCGTGCGCTGCGTAGACGATCTGGACGTCGGCGCCTTCGTGTGCGTCCACGCCGGTGAGGAACGGTGACTCGTGCGTCGCGCGCGGTCGTGGTTTTTGTCAGCAGCCTTGGGCAGGACACGTCGCGGAAAAAGGGTCGAAGGGCAGTGGGCGAGACTTCACGACGGAGCGGAGCGGCAGCGGGAGAGAGGGACATGCCAGAGGCTGGCGTCCGCGAGCAGAGATGGCGATGAGATCAACTCGCGGTTCGTGATTGGCGATGTCACGGGGAGGACTGTGTAGCAGTGGATAGCTCATGATCGTGATGATGTCGTGAATAGCACTGAGAATGCGAGTCGCCATTTTAGAACACGAGGCCTGCGCAGAATAATGCCGGCGTCTTGTGAATGGAGCGACGTGGGATGAATGCCCGACTCGTTGATCAACTTGCTTCCGCTGCTCAAGTGTTGGACGCTCAGCGCTGTTCGATGCCCCGGCTCGGCGCATGCAGGGGTCATGGAGGAGAGTCACGCGACGCGGCAGGAATCGGCGTCACCCAAAGACGGTGGTCACGACGTCGCAGGAGCAGCAGCAGAGGGTGCGCATATCCAGACGTGCGCGCGCACACGTACGCACGACGCCGTTACGTAACGTGGTCGGCCTGGGCTGGGACCCATCCTGCCCCGTGGTCCCCGATGCAGTTGCACCGCCTGCACACACTCGATGGTTATGCCAATAGCTGCCACTTTGCTAGAATGAGACATTGCTCATTATCTGTTGCTCTTAGTCGAGCTCGTGTTGAAGTACCCCACGTTTCACTATTAGAGAAAAACATCCGGGGATCATCAACCTGAGTGCCCTGACGAAAAAATCAACGGCAGGACCGTTTATTAAATGTTCAGTTCAGTTCATGTATTAGGTGTAGCCCTATGAGCCATGCGGGTGCAACCGATACAAAACAAAAACATGAACAAGAAACATCTTAAAGTGACACAGAAAAATCCAGGAGAAAACAGCAAAGTCTTCCAGAAAATGCACCGTATATCAACGCTGTGTGCAAAAATCCCAGTGGGATGCAAGTCAAACAATAACAACCAATAGACAATTTAGATTACAGTTATCAGTATAACTCTGTACTACAACAAACAAATATGGCTAAACCAAAACGTTTTCGAAATCACCAAAATAAAGCTATAAAAACAATGTAACAGTGATGTTATTGTGAACGAAATGGCAGATGACCAAAAAATCATCCTTAAATGTCCTCGATCTCCGAAGGTAAGCAGGCGATATAGCCTGGATCGTGCTGGGACAGGTGACCACTGTGCTTAAGGCTGCTGTGGGGTTGCGTTGTCAGCAGAGGGCAGTGAAAAAATATCCATTATTGACCGCTCCTTCAAGGACCTGTGCTGCCCAGCGTGGTAAAGTACGGTCAAATAACCCCCCGAGGCACGGGCAGGCCCTCATCCAGCAGTGGATTAACAAAAGCGCAGTACACGTGCAATAATTGTGTGTGCGCGTGCAGTGCGATGTAAATAAATTGACTCTTATTTAAATTCATGACGTTTCTAAAGTACAATACAATATTCAGTAAACAATACTTATATACGCGAATGCAATTCATATATATTGATAGTCCCCGAGTTACGATGGTCCGACTTACAATATTTAGATCTTACGATGGCGATAACGATACGACAAAATTGTTAAATATTTTAAATTTCGCGCAGCAGGCAAACGCAGCAGCGTACGAGGTTCGATACTGTACGTTGGGACGCTGCCGGGATGTACGCATCTCCCGCCTTTCTATTAAATTACAGTTTATATAGGTAGGCTAAGAATTTACCTTGTTTTTTACTTACATTTTACTGTACAATACAGTATTGTAATTAATAAATACATACAGTATATAGTTTATACAGTACGGTACTGTAAATTTCTCTGTTTTGCTAAATTATCACCATTCTGTAAGACTCCTGGGTAGGCTAGGCCATCTTCGACTTACGATATTTTCGACTTACGATGGGGTCGTCGTAACGCATCTCCATCGTTGTACTTGTAATCCTTTTTAATTACTATCCGGACCAAAGGGATGAGCTTGTTCATAACATTACACGTCACACTATCTCCAGGTATACAGCTCAGATATAGCACACGTGTGTGTAATGTTGTTACATACCCTCACCATGTGCTACAGCTGAGCTCTGTCCAGTAAATAGTGAGGTTATTTTAAGAAGATAATAAGTGTCTGCGGTCGAATCAAAGTCACGTAGGTGATGAATCGTATAGATATTCTTTGGGTCTTTCGGTAAATTCACGTATATAGGTTCAAAGAAAATAACAAAAAAAATAACTATAAACTACGACGTTTCGATCGCAACACAAGCACCCCTCTTCCTGATGACGAACGCTTGTGTTGCGATCAATTTGTGTTGACATCGCCGATTGTACATTTTATTTTGGCCAAGCAACAGGCCGGAATGAAACAGTGCTACATTTTGGCGGCGGGTACCGTGTGACACGCATATACGCACGAAACTACTCACTTTTATATAAATAGATGATTATCATCGTCGTCGCTATGATGTTTTACCGTCCACTTTTTTTTTTACCGGTATGCAAAGCAGGCACGTGCCGCCCCCACTCTTAACCCCAACGATACTCTTTGGTTCTTTCGGTAAAGTCACGTAGAAAGAAAATCAATTAAGTAATAGAGTACGACGTTTCGGTTGCAACACAAGCAACCGTCATCAGGTAGAACTACATTTGAGAGAGAGACGAAACACAGACACGGAGACACACAGACAGACACACAACATCGACACACACAGACAGACACACAAGTAGAGAGAGACACACACAGAGACACACAGAGAGAGACACACAACATAGACACAGACAGATACACAAGCAGAGAGAGACAACACAGAGACACACAGAGAGAGAGACACACAACATAGACACGTGGAGAGAGACACACAACATAGACAGACACAAAAGCAGAGAGAAACAATACAGAGACACAAGCAGAGAGAGACAACACAGAGACACACAGAGCGAGACACACAACATAGACACACAGACAGACACACAAGCAGAGAGAGACAACACAGAGACACACAGAGAAAGACACACAACATAAACACACAGAGAGAGACACATAACATAGACACACAGACACACAAGCAGAGAGAGACAACACAGAGACACACAGAGAGAGACACACAACATAGACACACAGAGAGAGAGACACACAACATAGACACACAGACAGACACACAAGCAGAGAGAGAGACAACACAGAGACACACAGAGAGAGACACAACATAGACACACAGAGAGAGACACACAACATAGACACACAGACAGACACACAAGCAGAGAGAGACAACACAGAGACACACAGAGAGAGACACACAACATAGACACACAGAGACCCAATGCCTCTGTGTCGTGGCCTTAAATAGAGAGGGGGGGGCAGAGAGAGAGAGGTGGGTCTGCTGGGGCAGCTGCTGGAGCAGAGGAATTAGCATGTCAATGAATTCACCCCGAAGCGACCGAGGGAAGGAAGATCGAATGGCCCTATGATAGCCTGCTAAATTTTAGAGAGAGAAATAGTTTGAGAAAACGAAATTTAGCAAATCTTTTGGAAATGTAATGTAATGCAACACAGAGAGTCGGCTGTGGTAACCAAAAAAAGGGGGTTCTACTTGTACGCAAGTACCTGTCCTGTATCTTCTTGGTTCTTTCGGTAAAGTCACGTAGAAGGGAAGTAATAAAATAATAAAAATAAAAATAATTCTCACGACGTTTCGGCCACAACGCAAGCAGCCGTCCTGCGTTGTGGCCGAAACGTCGTGAGAATTATTTTTATTATTTCATTACTTCCCTTCTACGTGACTTTACCGAAAGAACCAAGAAGATGAATCCCTGCAGTCACGAAAGCTTTAAATCGAAATTTACCTGTCCTGTATACGTGTGTGTGGCCACAGCAATGCCTGGACGTGGAGTGGCTGGCCTCGGTGTTAGAAGGATCTTGGGAGTTGCGGTGTCATCTTCCAAGGGATGCCGAGGTGAGACGGGAAGGTGCACGGCACTCCGGGTTCCGAGGCTTCGGTCTCGCTGGCTTCTGTTGATGCCCCAAGTCGACTTTCTCTCAGTAGGGGAAGTAGCTCATTCTGTTCGCTGCTCGTGGTCCGCAACTGCCTTCACTCGGCTGCCCGTGCTGTCGACTCCACGACTCTGTTCCAAGTCCAGGCTCAAGACGTTCCTCTTCTTAATTCTAGATTTGAAGCTTTCGTGACTGCAAGGATTCATACTCTTAGTTCTTTCGGTAAAGTCACATAGGTAAAAAATGAAATAAAAAAAAATGAAATTAAAATTTTCATTAAATTTTTTGCCTATGTGACTTTACCGAAAAAACTAAGAGTATGTTCCTCTTCTTCTCCGCCTTTAACTGGCTGCCTCTTTGTCTCAAAATTCTAGATTTGTCCACTCTTTCTGGACGGCGCTCTTGAATGTGGCCGCAGATGCTATGGCAATGTAAATTGTGTGCCGTGGGCAATTGTGTTGCTTGGGGCGCCGCAGTGTCGAGGTGTTAACTACCTTGCCTGGTATACAGGAAGTCGGGGATTAGATACCAACCCTGACGCTTGCATATTTTGAATTTGCGTGTTCTCTCCGTGGTCGCGTGAATTTTTTTTCCGGGTCCTCCAGGTTTTCCCTCCACATTGAGAAACATGGGTTTAGAGTATTTGGCTGCTATTAATGTCCACGTGATAAGCCACTTAATTGAGCTATCATTTGTGGCCAGGTCGCTTCTAAAAAAGAGCTGTATGGCTCGGTGGGCCTTACCTGGTAAAATAAAAAATTGTTTAGTTTTAGTTTCTATGACCAACTCAACTGGAAGGTGCTCAATGTGATCACATGACGCAAACTAAGCAAGGTTCAGTCTGGATGTTTGCATAGGCGACCACTGTGCACACACAGTTTGGCATCGGGCTGCAAGGCTACTTGGTGGGCAATAGAGGGCAGCAGATCCTTGTGCACGACTGCCAATGCAGTAGCACCAAATAATTGCACACTGGGTTAGAGGTCGCAATCGGGTACCTGATACCCGTACCCTACCCGATACCCGGCTACCCGTATCCGGCCGGGTATCGGGTAGGGTACGGGTACGGGTAGGGTACGGGTAACCCGTACCCGTACCCGGCTGGGTACGGGTACCCGTTTGCGACCCTGGTGCGGCCGGGTACGGGTAAGGAATCAAAACCCATTTGCGACCTCGGCACTGGGTACAATTCTGGGGTGCATATTGCTTTTCCGGACAGTTTATTGAATGTCACACCGGATTGGCGGATATCGGTGAAAAACTGATCCGAGTGTTCCGTTTTCCCCGCAGAGAGTCTGAGCTCCGAGTCGGAGGGAGAGCATTTTGCATATCAGCTGGACACGAGGGAGGGGAGCGTGGGGAGGTTCATGAACGTGAGTACGCGGCGCAGGCCGGCCGCTCGTCTCGGCTGTCTCTCAGGTTGCCCCGGACAAAGAGCCCCGCTAGGAAGATGACGTTGCAGAGCGAATTCCGAAGTCGCGGTGAAAACTTGGATTCAAATGCCGCCGAGACCCACGAGGCCAAGCCGAGGCTGAGGCTCGGAGCATTTTAATGTCGAGGCGAGCGTCAAGGCCGGCCGTGACGTCGCGAGATGGTGTCGCGTCATCGTTTTTGGGATAACCGTTTCAGCGCTGGTTATCAAGGTTTTAGAGCATCCCTTTGATGGATTTGCCCGGTTTACTCAAGGCTACGTCCCGAGTAGCAACAGAACTTTACGCTAATGTTTAGAGTTGATGGTTCATCGTTACGAGAGTTATCATGACCTCCTCCCCGCTACAGTCAGTTGGACAGAGGCAATGCATGAACATTTTCCATCTTAATTACACGTGACCAGTTTGAAACAAGCAGTGTCCTTAGGACCTCAAGGCAAAGGTTAAGGATGAGATCTGAGAGCATGACCTGGAGCCAGTTTCGGAGCTGGGAACTGTCCTCAACGCAAGACTGCTGTGGGATACATCGCCACTTAAGCGCCAAATCAATGTCAGTATTTATGTCTCTTTCCGTGTGCGCGCGCGTGTGTTGGGACTTGCCGGTCGGGCTCACAGCACAGCTCCAGCCCCAACATGTTCATCCAGGAGGTGTTTGTGGACACGCACGACCCGCGGTTCCCCTGGCTCGCGCTCTTTACCCACAGGTGAGCGCAGAGAGTGGCGGCGGCGGCGGCGGCTCCCAACGGCGCGTCAACGAGCCCATACCGCCGTGTGTCGGTGTCTTAGCGAGCGCAGAGCGTGGCGGCGGTTCCCAGCGGTTCCCAACGGCGCGTCAACGAGCCCGAGCCGCCGTGTGTCGGTGTCTTGGCGAGCGCAGCTGCGTTCAATGTCGGTGCGTGGTGGTGTCAAGCGAGCCCCGGTGGTCTTGTTGAACGTTCGCGTTTGCTCGGTGACCTACACGGGAAGACATTTTTCACAATTCTGACGAATCGCCCGATGACTGACGCTGGTTGTAATCGCCAGCGAAACGGCGTACTCAGATTGCAAATCTCGTGCGTTTACTCTCCCTAAACACCGAGTGTGCTGAAGTGGTAACTAATAGGCACGTTTTGTTAACATGACAAATCTTACTAGTTGACTGTGTCGGGTGGTGTGACACATTTATATTTACACAATCTAACCCAAAAAGCCTTTAATATGGGTCACGAAAGCCTACGTGTTAAACTCGTTGACTCGCCTGTCCATTTGGAGTTGTATTTATGATTGAACTTCTTTCGCACTGTACGTAACCAACCGTGCTAATCGGAGGTGCAGTGCAGAAGTACAACAAACTAAACACAAAAAACTGTTCTAAAGAAATAATTTTCAATTCAGATTTAAAAGTGCACGGCTCCAGTGGCTTCCCAATATCGGAAGGAAGAGCATTCCAGACGGCCGCAGAAGCGCATCTGAAAGCACTCCATGCAGTGATCGTCTTTGTTCAATGGTTAGCCAGAAGCCGCTGCTGCGTGGATGACCAGAGTTGAACTGCGTGTTAGCAAGCGGAGGCGCTTTGTGTTGTGACATGTATTTGCTTGCGTTCAGGTACTGTGATATCGCATGTCACATCGGATACTGACGTGAAGTCAGATGCTCTAACATGCTCAGGTGTTTCGATGTACGATCATGCGGAGTGATGCCTGTTCAACTGCTCTGATGTACAATCAGGTGATGTGACGTTTGATCAAGTGCTGTCACGTGAGGTTCAACTGCTGTAATTGACAGTCAGATGCTGATATTAGCCAGGTGCTGTGTCACAGCGAGATGCAATCAGGTGCTTTAATGTACGATCAGACACTGTGGCATGAGCTCAACGTGGTTTCATTAGTGATCAGATTCCGTGAGGTATGATCGAGGTACCGTGACACGCACGACAAAGATCCCCCACATAGTTCGATTTAAAGCTTTCGTGACTGCAGGGATTCATCTTCTTGGTTCTTTCGGTAAAGTCACGTAAAAGGGAAATAATAAAATAATAAAAATAAAATTTAAAATTAATTTAAATAAAACATAATAAAATAATTCTCACGAATTATTAGTGAGAATTATTTTATTATGTTTTATTTTTATTATTTTATTACTTCCCTTCTACGTGACTTTACCGAAAGAACCAAGAAGATTAATCCCCCACATAGCTCACCACTGTACTACCGCTCCGACGGCAGCTGGCAGCATTGTGCTCGAGTGACGTCCGCGCCGTGCGGTGACGTCCGTTCGCGACGTCACCGGGTAACGCGACGTGTGCCGCCCCAGGTTCGTGCGCGCGGGCGAGGAGCTGACGTGGGACTACAGCTGCCGCCAGGGAGCTTCCACCGATTCATCGGTGGCTACCGCTGCGCCATCACCCCCGCAACTGACGGTCGCTCACAACGCCGCGTCTGATCCCCGCCACCCTTCGTCGAACTGAGTCGTTCTCACGACGTCCACAGTTTGTCGTGCTCGTCACAGCGCCGTTACAAATCCCGGCGCACCTGACGTTTTTGTGTGAGCGTGCGTGTGTGTGGTGCAAAGCGTGCCCTCGAAGCATCGCGTTGGGTCAAAGGCGATGTTTCCCAGTAAGATTTTTCCATTTTGGTCGTGAAAACCCCCGTGATTTCTGTGAAGACCAAAATGTACCCATTTACAGCTCATAATGTGATTTACATTGTATTTCATATTGTAGAAATTTAAAAATCAGTATGAAAGAAAAGGGCAAAAGAGCACGACTGAAACCACCCTAAATCACAAGCCAATTATGGAATGCGCAATCCAATACTGCAATAGTTACTGTACAAATATAGTAATGTACTGGGATTGTCTGGCAAGTGATGTTTCCGTACGGCGTGGAGACTCCGCTAACAAATCAGCATTGCCTTGCACGCTGTACATTTTTTTAGCTTGGGGCGTGCAATTTAATTTTTTTATTCGCTATAGAGATCTGTTGTTTTTTAAGGGTCCCCCCCCAAAATGTTTTTTATTTGCAGCGCAGTAATACCCCGAATTGCATCTCCCCCTTCTACGTGGTTTCGCAAATACCTCGTCACTTTATTATCACCACCACTACCTGAATTGCCTCAACTCCTCGCTTTTTACTTAATTTCGATATTCGTCTTCGCACCTTTCAGGGAACACATGCCCGGCGTAAACCGGGGTAGTACTGCACAGGGTATACATCGTCCCACAACTGCTGTTGACTTCCCCACAATGTGAAACATATTTTATCCACGCCGGAAGGCTGATATGGCCGAGCCATCCACTAACCAGGATTTTAACTCGCGGCCTTCCGATTGTGGTCCGCTTGCTTCTCCGCTGAGCCAGCTGACCAGCTCGAGGGGGGGGGGGGGAGAAATAATTTTTTTTCAACTTACGAACAAGTTTCCGAAAAAATTGTTTCCAATCTGGAAATGACCTTGGCTGAGGAATAACGGTTTTGGAGCTTGAGGTTGGTGAGCAGTGCTCCCACTAAACATCCCCACTGCTCCATGCAGCCATTGCACCGCTGAGTGGGGTGGGCAAGCAGTTGTGTGTGGCTGTATTGGGTATTGAGTTACCAGCTTTGTCGGCAGTTTAATTAATGAAGCACAGAGCCTAGATGGAGGCTTTTTTTTTTCCAATGCAATTGTGATTTAACTGTTCGTAACGGCTCGGAGCTAAACGCAGGTCACGACTGCATGGTGGAGTGACAATGGCGCAGTGGTTAGCGCGTTGCGATATGAGCACGGTGAACCTGAGTTCGATTCCAGGCCACGGCCAACATAAGTGGCGAGCGATAGCTTAACCAAATCTTGACTGAAAGCTTTCGTGACTGCAGGAATTAATATTCTTAGTGTCTTTCGGTAAAGTCACGTCGATAGGTTCAAATGAATAAAAATGAAATAAACAAAAAACTACGACGTTTTGATCACAACACAAACGTTTTTTTTTCCCCACACACAAACGTTTGTGTTGTATTGTGATCAACACCTTTCATCCGTCCACACCAACTTGTGTGACCAAACAACTCCCGTGACCGATACAGCATGGGAGTTTCTTCATCCAGCAGTGGATTGATGGATGTTTTTGTTATATCCTCTACCATTAACCAGGGGGTTAAACAAACTCAGAGACATGAAACATTGCCTCTTTTTCAAGGGTGACCTCAATATACCAATGAACTATACACATGCCTGTAAACTATGTTAATCGTACAATAATGTTACATTTATGTTTTTTTTAATCAAGAAACCCCAAGAAAATATAATTTGAGAATGCATTGGGGAAAAATCTACCTTATCTAAAATTATATCTGAGTACTCATGGGATGGAGCAAGATAGTTTTTGTTTCTTCAATTAAAAACTTGATGTTTTTTTTACACCAATCTTACTTCTAGTGCCACGTTAAACATTTCACACCGTTATTGGCCAAAACATGCATCCTCTACAATTGAAAGAATGCCACCCATTCGTCAGATAGGTCACCAAGGTGAAATCTTAGATATCACTCTGCCCACTCTAAACTAAACTATTTTTATTTTGGCAGGTAAGGCCCGCTGAGTTTTATAGCACTTTTTCAGAAGCGACCTGGCCACAGATGATAGCGAAGTGGTTTATCACGTGAAAATGTATTGCAGCCAAATACCCTAAACGCAGGTTTCTAAATGTGGAGGGAAAACCGGAGGACCTGGAGAAAAATCCACGCCACCAAGGGGAGAACATGCAAACTCCAAATAACAATCTTGTATTGAAGCTTTTGTAACTGCAGGAATCCATACTCTTTGGTTCTTTCGGTAAAGTCACGTACGTAGAAAAAATAACAGATCACGACGTTTCGATCGCAACACAAGCAATCGTCATCAGGTGAAACAAACACAGCAGGGGAACTGCTGACGTAGGAGAAAGAGCTGCTGCAACGAGAGGTTTATAAGATTTTAGTGGGCCCAACCCAAGGGTAAGTGGGCGGAGCTATAGAAGGAATTTGTATGTGAATGTGAGAGATTAGCGTGTTAATGTGAGATGGCCCAGCCACCGGAGGTGTGCCA